CGCTTGTCTTCGGTTCTTAGCTCCAGTTGTGAGGCTGAGATCTACGCCGGGGCCATGGCTGCACAGGAGCTTCGCTGGCTCACCTACCTGCTGACCGACCTTGGAGAGCCGCCCCGTTCTCCTCCAGTGCTGTACGTAGACAACAAGGCCATGCTGGCCTTGTGTCGAGAGCAGCGTCTGGAGCACAGAACGAAGCACATTGCTCTTCGCTACTTCGTTGCTTGTGAGCTACAGCAGCGTGGACAGTTGCGGCTTGCGTACGTGGCCTCTGAGGCCAACACTGCTGATGTGTTCACCAAGGCACTCGCGCCTTGTGACCATCAGCGCTTCTGCACTCAGCTGGGACTTGTACCTGTCCTACCTCACTTGCTCACCTCTTGACCTTGCTTGTACTCTTGCATATATATATATATATATATATATATATATACCTGCTCGTGCTTGTTTAGCCTTATATATATATATATGTGTGTGTGTCTAGTCTTGCATGTGAACTGGCCTTGTGGCCTTGACCTTGTGCTCGGACTGTGTGGTGACTTTGTGATCCACCCTGAGCTTTGTTTTGCTTTGCTTGACTAGTCTTGTGACCCCTTGTTCTCCCCCACTTTGCCTATGGGGGTGTGTCAGATTTATATGACATAGTTGCTGTAGGCTATAGTGGGGTAGCACATATGGGGTACAGGTTTCTAGGGCTGTATTTGTACCACAATCTTTCCTTAGTCATTCATTCCTGTTCATTACTTTCACAGGGACAACCGGCACGCTAGTAGTCAGTGACAGGAGTAGGGGGGGAAGGGAGAGAGGACGGAGGAGGAGAGGGGAGAACGGACTCAGAAGGAGGACGACGAAGAGACGAACAAAAGAGGGCCGTGCGGAGGTCGGGAACGGGAGACGAGTGACGAGCACGCGGAGGATAGGGACGGACACGAGAGTGCGGGACAACAGGTGCAGGAGACTGCGGTGGAAGAGAAGACCAGACCGCCGGACTGGCGTCAGGAGGAGGAAACGTGGGACCCAACGCTGGAGGAGACGGAGTGTGAACTGGAGCAGAGGAGGGAAGACCAAGGGCCCGAAGGCCACTCACGGGTGGGAACAACTGCCGCTCCAGAGGGAGCTGCTGCGGTCGCAGCTGCGGCGGCGATGTCTGCTGCTACTGCTGCGGCGGCTGCTGCTGCTGCGGCGGCTGCTGCTGCTGCGGCGGCTGCTGCTGCTGCTGGTGGTGTTGCTGTTGCTGCCGCGCCAGCAGGTCCAACCGCCACAACTCCTGCTGCTCCCTCTCCAATAGCACCTGCTCCTCACGCTCACGCCGACGGGCCGCCTGGAGACGCGTGTCGTGGCGGTGGGGAGGCGGAGTGGACTCCGCAGAACCAGTGTCTCCAGCTCCAATCTCCTCAGAACCAGCACCTCCAGTGCCAGCGCCTCCAGCACCGGCACCCCCAGAACGAGCACCTCCAGTGCCAGGACCTCCAACTCCAGCACCCCCAGAACTAGCACCTCCAGTGCCAGCACCTCCAACTCCAGCACCCCCAGAGCTAGCACCTCCAGTGCCAGCACCTCCAGCTCCAGCACCCCCAGAGCTAGCGTCTCCGCGCCAGCACCTCCAGCTCTAGCACCAACCGAGTCCACAGTAACCTGTCGCGGAAGTGTCAAAGGCTGTTGCGGGGACCGTGAGGAGGACTGCGGGGAGGGAGACGCTACCTGGCGCGCGACCGAGGGTAGAGGGGTAGCGTGGGACACACCAGACGGGGCAGGACCAGGGGGGGGCGGGGGTACTAGAGGAGCGGGAGCAGGACGAGGAGAGGGTGTGAGGAAGAGGGGGGGAAGGGGTACCGGGAGACCTCGACAGGGGTATCGGGTGTAGTAGGACATGGACTCGTCAAACCGGAAGTCTCGGGAGTCTAGGAACTGGTGGAGGGGAGGGTGGTAAAAGGACTAGTCGGCAGAGTCCACCGGGAAACCAAGCAAGACACAGGGGATGGCGCGTGCCGAGAGCTTGTTTGCGAAGGTGTCGTGAACAAGCGCAAGGCAGCCCCAGGCACGAAAGACCGACCCTACACCAGGGGACCCGGTTTAAAGACTGGTCGGTGAAGCCTCGGGCCGTGAGACGCGCGGCTGGAGGTTCAGTTGGTGTGCGGTGTAGCGAACCGCATAGGGCCACAAAAAATGGGGCACACGGGCATGGATCATGGACGTGCGAGCAATGTCTATGACCAAGCCAATGCGGCGCTCAGCAACCCCATTCTGCTGCGGGGACTCGGAAACCGTCCAGGACTGTACGATGCCCTGTTCACCGCAGAATCCGGCAAGAACACTGGAGCAAAACTCGCCCCCACGGTCAGAGTGTAGACAACTGACACGATGACCACGAGTGCCCTCAGTGGCCAGAAGCCACCGGATCAGCATTGGAGTCACCTCGGACTTCTTCGCGAGAGGGAACACTGTGGTGTACCTAGAGAAGTTGTCGACAACCACTAGAAAGTAACGCTCCCTTCCAGAACCCTCGTCAGGGCAGGGCCCCAGACGTCCAAGTAGAGGGTCTCGAAGGGAGCAGTGGCCGGACGAAGGGAGGAGGAGTGAGGAGTGGCGCGTAAGCGATCGGCGACGCAAGGAGTGCAAGGGGGAGCAGGGAAGGTGGGGAGCGACGGAAAGGTGCGTGGGAGACTGGTGACAAGCCTGTGAGTGGTCATCCCGCGGAGGCGGGGGAGCGACGGGTGGCCAAGGCGGTGGTGCCACAAGACGGTCCGGTGGGTGAGGGACCGACAGGAGCAGGACACAGTGTCTGGGCTAGACAGTGCGACCTAACTAGACGGTGCAACTGGACAAGACACGACCACCTGGCTAAACACAGCAACCGGACTGGACACCTGGACTGGAGGGGACGCAACGACCTGAGCGGAGGACGCAACCGAGGAGCGCTCGGTGTGGAGAACGTAGAGACCGGAGCAGGGCTCCCTGGCGAACGTGGCCAGACTAGCACCTGTGGCAGTGTCTGTACAGACCGCAGTCCTCCCACCCCCCACAAAGGTAACCGTGATCCCCCTGTCCTGGAGGTAACCAACACCCACCAAGTTCCGAGTGAACGAGGGGATGTGGAGGCCGCGCAGGACACCAGAGGGGACCACAGGACACGGGAGGGTAGTGGAGCTACGCGCAACGGCTGGTCCTGGGGTAGGATCAGCCAGAGCCACCGAAACAGGAGTGAGGAGAGGCGTGAGGGTCGTGTGGTCGCGGAAGAAGCACTGAGACGCACCAGAGTCCAGCGTGAAGGATAAGGACGCCTCAGCCGGAGGGTCACCTGTCCTAGTGGCTACACAAGCACCTAGAGCAGCAACACAAGCACCTAGACTAGAAAGGCACAAGTCTACACTAGCAGGAGGCAAGCTAGCTAATCTACGAACACGTGAGCACGCAGATCCATCAGCACTATAGTCAACATTAGCATACAAAGCATGCTGACGAGCATCGTCCATGGACATATCAAACACATCAATCTTACGGGCTAACAGGTGAGCCCAGTGAGGCGTGGTCGTCGTAGGGCCCCAACGGGCACGGTAGAGGTTGTCGAGGCGGCGGAAGCACTGCGCGGCAGAGTGGTCGTCACAACCGCAGAGAGAGGGGCTGCCAGGTCCGATGAGGCACCAGTGGGTGCAGGGGCCAGTGTCACGGCGAGGGGGGCGAGGGGCCCAGCTCGAAGTGCCGCCACTGCAGCCGGTGCTCCCTGGTCCTCCCGGACCCCACTGCGGCGGGGGACCCCAGTGCTGCTGCGGACCCCACTGCAGTGGGGGCCCCCACTGCTGGAACTGCTGCGGTGCCTGCTGCTGTTGCGGTCCCTGCTGCTGCTGCTGTCCCTGCTGTGGCTGGTGCTGCTGCGACTGTTGCTGCTGGGGTCCAACACCCCCACCGGTTGGGCCACCGCCAGAGGGCGGGCCTGTCTGTCCTGCACCTACTCCAAGGCCCCCTCCACCTGGTGCACCTCCGCCGCCGCCGCCGCCACCGCCTCCACCACCGCCGCTCCCACCTCCACCTCTACCGCCACCTCCACCGCCGCCTCCACCGCCTCCACTGCCCCCCTTCCCGCCCTTCTTGCCACACTTGCCCCGTTTCTGCCAGTCTGCGATAGAAACCGACACAGCAGTAGAAGCGCGGGTAGCAGTGAAAGTGGGAAGCTGAGGGGCGGCACACCCCGCAAAGAGACGGGGGGGCACCGCGTCAGTGGCGGAGGCAACGGTGAGGTGGCTACTCTCGATCGTCCTGAGAGCGGTCTCAAGGAGATCGATAGTGAGCTCAGTGGGGTGCTTTTGGAGAAGCGCGTCGCGAGCAGTGGCAAGGCGGTCAGGGAGGCGGGTGACGGAATGGATGAACTAGCTAAGTGTTGGATACAAATAGGAAACCCTAGCATCTGTACCCTCTAGAATGCAACTCACTACAGCCTATAACCATTATATTTGACACATACACACACACAGACACAGACACACATATATATATACACACACACACACACACACACACACACACACACACACACACACACACACACACACACACACACTATTGGCCCTTACGAGCCTCTATCAAGGGAGAATATGGTAGCGTGAGTGGCCTTATTGTTTGCGGGTGCACAAAACTTGTTTGGAATGTTCAGATATTTTTTTCCCTACACTAGTACTATAAGGTTGCTATGGAAAAGCCTGTAAAAAGTGGGTACCTACATTTTCCTTAAATTTTGTATGAATTTGGACCTTCCCTTTTGTTGTGTGCGGTCAAGACACTGGAAAAACAACACGCCAATACCTTTGTATTGTGTTGGAAAGATACCTGTGCCTTGGGATAGTGTATCGGACTCTTTGGGTGTTAACGATTAGCCTTCCCTCATACCTTTGCCAACGATACAAAAAGCACGAAAATATGGCACCTCGCAGCACTCATCACAGCTGCCACACAGAACCTCGTTTTCCAGAGTAAAAAAGCTTAACCAAGCAGCCAGAGCTACTGTGCTCCTAAGCTGCATCATCCAGTGCAGCACCTGCTGCTGGCACACTTTCTACAGTGACCCCCTTTGAAGCCACACCCTCCACAGTCACACCCTCCACAATTATAACCTCCACAGTCACACCCTCCGCAGTCACACCCTCCGCAGCCACACCCTCCACAGTCACTCCCTCCACAGTCATTCTCTCCAAGGTCATGCCCTCCACGCCCTCCACAGTTACACCCTCCACAGTCATACCCTCCACAGTCATACCCTCCACAGTCACACCCTCTACAGTCACACCCTCTAGAGTCAACCCGTCAAGCGACACTAGGTCCTCCAGCATCCAAGCATCCAGCCCAGCATTGCCTGACTCTGCAGATGGAGCAGCAGAAAACTCCTCGATGTGACTCGTCACTGCATCCCACTTCTCTCCATCCCCTTGCACCCCTTCCGATCCTTCCTTCCTGAACTTCTCCTCACGCTCCTCTTCCCTCCTGGCCGCCCTGCCAGCTTCCTGTCCCCGGCACACCCAATGCCATCTGAACATGGCAGCATCTTCTCAGGCCGAACATTCTGAAATCCATTTAAAAAGCCATTTGGGAACTCAAGCTCGTTCCCGATCAGCTCTGCCCGATCATCCTCTCCTCCTGCAACCAGTTCCTCTTCAAGAGCATCCCCAATCAGCACTGCCAGGTTGCTTGCTCCTGCCGTGACCCGCGTCTCTTCCAGGGCATTCCGAAGAAAAAAGGGCCCATGTGTGACCTCTGGAGCAGCAGGGGCATTCCCAATCAGCGCTGCTAGATCGCTTGCTCCTGCTGCGACCCATGTCTCTTCCAGAGCATTCCGGAGCACCCAAGGCTCTCCCTCTGTGATTTCCCGCGCATCCCCAATCAGCACTGGCGGTTTGCTTGCTCCTGCCAAAATCCTTGACCCTTCCTGAGAATCCATTGGCAGGAGAGGCTCTCCACAGCAATTTCTGGAGCATTAAGGGCATCCCGGATCAATGCTGCTAGAAAATGCTTTTCGCGTCTGAACATCATCATCCTCTGCAGCACCTGCTCTCAGACCCTCTGCAAGTGCACCCTCTGCTGTCACAGCTGTTAAAGTCACACCCTTTGGAGCCACACCCTTCATATTCACACCTTCCACAGTCACACCCTCCACAGTCATAACCTGCAGTCATCCATCAAGCGGCATTATGTCCTCCAGTATCCAAGTGTCCATCCCATCATTGCCTGACTCAGAAGAAGCATTAGCAGCAACCTCCTGCATGTGACTCAGCACCACATCCCACTCCTCTGCATCCCCTTGCATCCCTTCCTCTCCTTCCTTCCTGGACTTCTCCCCACGCTCCCCTTCCTCCCATGTCTCTCCAGACTGCCCTGCCAGCTTCCTGTCCCCAGCACACCCAAAGCCATCTGGTCGCAGCTCATGCTCGCCTTTGATCAGCTCTGCCCGATCATCTTCTCCTCCTGCGACCACTGCTTCTTCTCCTCCAATCAGCGCTGCCAGATTTCTTGCTCCTCCCACGGCCCGTGTCTCTTCCAGGGCATTCCCGAGCACCAAACGCTCCGCCTCTGTGATTCCCAGAGCATCCCCAATCACCACTGCCATATTGCTTGCTCCTCCTGCTTCCGGTTCCTCTTCCAGATCATCCCCGAGAAGCAAACGCTCACCATCTGCCATCACCGAACAATCGGGGGTATTCCCAATCAGCACTGCCATATTGCTTGCTCCACCCACGAACCGTGTCTCTTTCAGAGAATTCCCATGCAGCAACGGCTCTCCATCTGCAATTTCTGGAGCATTAAGGGCATCCCCAGTCAACACCGCCAGATCTCCTGCTCTCCCCATCACCAATCCCTGCTCTTGCAGCAAACGCCTTCCATGTGCAATCTCCGGAGCTACAAGCTGCGAGCCACATTCAAGGGCTGCAAGCTGCGAGCCAAGAGCCGTGATCTTATAGGTGGCAGGAGAAGGGTAAGGTGGTTCTGCAAATGCACGTGCCCATGCCGCTCTGTTGGAATACCCTGCAGCCGCACATGCACTCTCTCTTGAGTCGAGAGCCGTCATGTATGTGTTCCCCACATTTGCACACGCACTTTCGCCTGAAATCAAATTCATGAAACATCCACGAGAATAATAATCCTCATCCTCCCTTCCATCCTCCCCTCCATCATTGTCCTCCCCACTCCCCTCCGCACTCTTCTCCTCAGCTTCTTCTTTGTCGTGCTCTTGATCCCGCTTCTCCTGCTCCTTCCCATCCACACTCCTCGCAGAAACCAGCTCCCCTTTCGATTCTGATCCATTCATGCTGACATTGCAAGACCCTTCCCATACGGGTGCATTATTTTTAGGGCATGAGGATCCTTCCCCACCCTCACCACCATGGCACATCCCACCCACATTTTCATCATTCTTATTACCAACAGCAGAATAAAAAACCCCACGTACATCCACAGCTCCTTTTGAGGGTCTTCTCCTTAAGGCCCTCTCCCTGTCATAATCCCTCTCTCCACCACTGCCCGCCTGCTCCTCGGGCAGCGGAAAATTCGTCTTTGCGCGGGGCCCGCGGAGCTCCCGGGCAGCTTGATCGAATGCACGGGCAGCAGCTTCAGGAGTGGAAAATGTTCCGAGCCACTTGCGCACATTGTTAGCTGTGTCCTCTATTTCTGCCACCCACTGGCCTGCCTTTCTCTGCCGCACTCCGCGATATTTGGGGCAAGAAGAAGAGAGAGGTGAGGATTTGCGTTTCTGCTGGTTACATTGCTGCTGATGCTGGGATTGCTGTCGCTGCTGCTGCTGCTGCTGCTGCTGCTGCTGCTGCTGCTGCTGCTGCTGCTGCTGCTGCTGCTGCTGCTGCTGCTGCTGCTGCTGCTGCTGCTGCTGCTGCTGCTGCTGCTGCTGCTGCTGCTGCTGCTGCTGCTGCTGCTGCTGCTGCTGCTGCTGCTGCTGCTGCTGCTGCTGCTGCTGCTGCTGCTGCTGCTGCTGCTGCTGCTGCTGCTGCTGCTGCTGCTGCTGCTGCTGCTGCTGCTGCTGCTGCTGCTGCTGCTGCTGCTGCTGCTGCTGCTGCTGCTGCTGCTGCTGCTGCTGCTGCTGCTGCTGCTGCTGCTGCTGCTGCTGCTGCTGCTGCTGCTGCTGCTGCTGCTGCTGCTGCTGCTGCTGCTGCTGCTGCTGCTGCTGCTGCTGCTGCTGCTGCTGCTGCTGCTGCTGCTGCTGGGGTTTCTGGTCTTGCGCCTCCAATGCAGTCTGTTCCTCCGCTGCTGCTGCTGCTGCTGCTGCTGCTGCTGCTGCTGCTGCTGCCTCAGTTTGTGCTTTTTTTTCAGTTCCCTGTGAGAGACGTGATCTTCCTCTATGAGTGTTGGCAGGTGTGTTGAAAACACATCTCAGCGATCTGCGCCGTCCATTTTGTCTGCGTCTCTCCTGCGGCCAATCTACTGAAAATTGGACTCGATTCTGAGTGGTACTACTAGTAGCGGCAACTGGTGGCACCTGTGGCCTCAAGATTCTTTCCACACGGGCAATGGTCAGTAGTAACTCCGTTTCCAGCCCATGAGTCTGGTTTCCTTGCCCAGTAAACTGCCCGTTATCAGCCTGGCGGCAGGAGTCAAACCCAGGACCTCCAAGCGGAGCAGACGAGGTGGGATTTGGGCTATTGTGAGCAGCTGGATGTACGGCGGACGGCTGGCCGTCAAGTTGACGGTTTCCATCTGCTTTTTGCAGCCTGTCCGCCAAAAGGTGCGTGAGAAGATTCGAGAGCGCGAGGAACGCTTGTTTGAGAGCAACATTAAATCCTAAATCGGAATCGGATCCGTTGCAAAGGCTCTGCACGTCCGCATCACCTTTTCCCCCCAGCCGCCTCGCCGAAGTGAGATCTTTCAGCTCATGCGAGGAGGATTCCTCGCCGGAATGTTCTCCTCTCGCTGGGTGAATAACGTCCATACGTTAACTCTGGAGTTCACTGTAACGCGCCAATGGCACTCAATTGAATCGAAGCTTTGAAGAATGGAGAGGAGAGGGGACACGAGCACTATTCGGGAGTAACTACATGTATGAAAGTCTCTGAGGAAACCAGCAGCAGCCTGAAGACGCACCCACTTCAAGACTATATCTGGAAAGTTTTCTCAATCAACTTTTCGATGTGGATAAGTTCCGGGGCCACTGTCGCTCTTTGGAGTGCCCCAATATTTCGTTATCCCTGAAAACCCTACCCAGCAATCTCATATCCTGACCGCTACCGTGAGCCACCTCATTCGACCGCATTCCAGACTAACCGAACCTTCTAGGCTGCGTTGAAAATGGGTGCACCACGATGATCTTCGTAGTGCTGGGACATGCTGGGAATGTGTTGTATGCGACTTCATTTTCTAGGAAGAGTTGACGGCGAGCTGATGCTCACCCCATGCGCGCGAATTTGCCTTGCGCCGGATGGACACGCTGCGCCTGAGGTTGTTTCCCCAGCTTCATGCACCCACATTACAAGCGCGTCAAGCAGAAGAGACCGAAGTCAAGCAGAAGAGACTGAAGTCAAACTAGGTAACTAGGTAGCAGGGTCTTGTTTATAAGCACATGCGAATTCTTTTTTGCTTGCTGCGAAATTGACGAACTTATGCGAAACGCACGATACAGCTTATACGCCCCCTTCACAAGGCAACCGGGAGGGGCTCAATCAGGCATCAGTTTGTAGTATCATGTGTTGCGCTCAACAGACTCTGTTGATGCGTGGACTTTGAATCGGGTCCACGATAACAGCAAGATTCTAGCGGTCAGCAGGGTTTGTTTCAAAAAGCTCAACTGGAATACGACTAGTCTTCTTGTTGGAATATTGGAATACAATGGGATATGAGGACTCTGAATAATTTAGGTACTAGATTCCGCTTGAGGATTGTTTTAGATTGCGCTCAAATTGAGCAGGGCAAAATGAAAAGGGTGCTTCTTGATAGGGCTGCCTCTGATTTTGCGAGCGAGTCGCACAATGCTTGCTGTAAAGCGCAGTCCCGCACAACGCCAAAAACTATGTCACATGCCCATTCTGCATGGCGATTCGTTGAGCCGTGCACGCCGTGCCAGGCTGTACACAGTATGGGCTTCAAAGGTCAACCATCAGTTGTTGACGGAAGTCAGCGATCTCTTCACCCAATGGAGAGCATGATGTTTTTGGCATGTGCAAAAGCCTCGATTGGCTGGTGACTTGGGTAAGGAGAGAAAGGATCCTTTTGGTTCATGTTGCGGTGCGGAGTTTTTTTCCTTTTTTTGGGGGGGGGTCAACTCGTTGTTCTTTCGTACAGACCAACGAGAGGTGGTACGACTCCCGTCAACATCGACACTGCAGGTGTGCCCGTAAATGGACATCGTCAACCCTCCCAGAAATTGTCAACGACTCTACAATACTGTACATCAAGCCTTCTCTGGGCACGCTTAAGGTCAATCAACGGCGCTCGTTTGAATACACCTATTCAAGCCCTGCCTACTTCAATCCCTGCCAATTTCAACCCCTTCGTCCTTACGCGGGGCTTCAGGGTGAATGCGGCTCGACAAGGTGGGGTGTATGACGCGTCAGTTGCACAGTGTGCCAGACTACTTTACACCCTGACGAGCTGACGCGTCAGGTTGCCCAGCTGAAATTTTGGAGGGTGAAGTGTACCCAGCACATATTTCGTGAGGTGTTGATAGGGCAAAATCCAAACCCCTGGGGGTGCAGTCGACGTGGCATACATTTCCAGCCCCAATGCTTTGCGCCACTGAATTCCAGTCAGCAGCGCATGTCCAGGCTGACTAGGCCTGAAAATATCATGGGGGAACTGCTTTGTTCCCTCCAATTTCAACAAGGGGCAAAACGACAAACCCTTGCTCCCGTTGTGCGGGTGTTGAAATTGGCGAGGGACCACCCAAAACCCATGTAGGGGGCCTAGTGCGCACAAATCAAACTTCTGTGCATGATAAATTTTATGAAACTGTTACGGGTGCAATTGAAAGAGTACAAATTGTGAGCTAATGTTATGAGTTGTACTAAGAAGAGAGTGCGGAAGACTTTATAAAAAGGATGAGAACTACAGAATGACGAGAATGATAAAGAAGCAAGCATTTATAGGGTCGAAACCGTGGTAGGCGAGGACCTCGGGACGTGGATGGGCTGAGAGTGTCGCGATTGGTGTGGGGCGACTCGGAAGTGGTTCGGGCCGAAGTCTAGGCCGAACCCAAACTGACGCGAATAGTTCGGGCTGTCCTCGCTAGGAGTAGCCTCTATAGTAATGAATTCACATTCATTACACTCTCCCACCTTCTAGATAAGGTGCCCTTATACGTAGGCGAGTCTTGCAGTAGCGTGAAAACTGCAGATCTCGGTTGTGTTGGGCTGAGTGCCCCTTGAGATCTTTGGTAGGGTTAATCTCTGGGTAGAATGATGTAGTAGCAGAAGCGTTAACAAAGAGATTCTGAACCACCTTACGCTAGTATGTGAGGGCAAAGTAAGTTAATTAAAACAAGGAGATACAAGATTTTATGTATGATTTACAAGGAATACGAAGAGATACGAATCATAACTGTTTTACTGTTGGCTGTTGCGGTTCGATACAGTGCGACTCGGGCAACTGCTCAATATCGAGTCAGTTGTGTGTCCTTGCTGTCGCGCTGCATTTGTCAAGTCAAAGGTCGCTGACCTTTGACCTTCGCGTAACCTCCAGCTG